GCTCCCCAGGGATGGCGAGGTCGAATCTGAGTCCGCGTAGGCCCCGACCATGCTGCCCCCCCCCAGCAGCCCTCGAAATTGCCGAAACTTTTACACGTCGCAGCCCCCCAGGGATGGCGAGGTAAGCCGCAGGCTGGCAGGCACTACAGAACCACGCAAGAGGCATGAGAGAAGAGAAGGAGGGAGGCGGGAGGAGAAAAAGCAACCCTGATGCTCGATTCAAAACGAGAACCCAACACGGGAGGTTTTGGAACTAACACTACATTTGTGTCTGGTGACTTGGGTCTTGACATAATTGAGAAGCGTTTGGGCCAAGATGGCCCCAGGTGTCCTAAGATGGCCTCCAAGACGGCGCAAGATGTAACGTAAACATATGAGGGCCCAAGATGGCTCCAAGAGACTCAACGAAGGCCTTATGATTGACTGATGTCATCGTCGTCGTCGCCTTCTTCCTCCCACATTCTCCTCCGCCATCATCGTCCTCATTATCATACTCCTCCATTCTCCTGATTACCATCATCACAATCACCATCACCATCATCTTCGTCATCATACTCCCCACACAATACCTGAAATTGATTGGGAACATGTTCCAACCTCTTCGTTGTGTTCTCCTCCTCCTCTTCCTCTTCCTCCTCCTCCTCATCCTCCTTCTCATGCTGATTTTCCTCCTCCTGCTTGAAAAAAGATTCGAAAGCACACATGGTTAAATTACCCCGGTAAAGCTACACGGGGCGTCAACATATACACGTTTCGCGCAAACGCGAGATGCTCGGAAAACTGCTCCCCGCGTGCGCCAAAGAAGGCGAGCATCGCCCAGCCCCACCTGTACTTAGCGAGAGCCGCGCAAAGACGCACGAAACCTCTGGGCGAAACAAGAGACGGGGGGCACTACGAATAGCACGCGGGGGAAGAGATACGATGCAGGAGGGAGAAGCAGGAAGATGAGGAAGCAGTGGAAGAGAATGAGGATCTTTGAGAGAGCGTGATCCACCGCCGCTTTACTGTGGAAAATTCCCCCCCCTCATCCTCCGAAACCAGGGGGTCCCCCCCCTTCGAAAATCCCCCCCCCCTGCTGGAACCACCCCTCCCCCTCCTTCCCCCCAGCAACCCTCCCATCCCACCTACCCCTCCACCCCCTGCCGCCTGGAAAACCGGGGTGGGTCGCTACCAATTCGAGGCCCCCCCCCTACAGAAAACCCAGGTGGGTCACTACCGGTGGTTCGAACCCCCCCCCCTCCTCCGGAAAACTGGGGGGGGGTCACTACCGGTTCGAACCCCCCCCGCTCCGGAAAACCGAGGGGGGGTCACTACCGGTTCGAACCCCCCCCGCTCCGGAAAACCGAGGAGGGGTCACTACCAGTTCGAACCCCCCCCCCTCCAGAAAACCGAAGGGGGGTCACTACCGGTTCGAACCCACCCACCCCCTCCAGAAAACTGGGGGGGTACTACCGGTTCGAACCCCACCCCCACACTCACCACCGGCAAACGACTCCCAGGTACCCACCAACGTCCGCACCACATCCCCCACTGCTCTCCCCAGCACTACTGTCCCCACCACCACTGTCCCCACTGTTCCCATCACCGTCCACACTGTCCCCACCAGTGCCCCCACCACTGTCGCACTGTCCCCACTGTCCCCACCACTGTTCTCACCACGGTCCCACTGTCCCACTTTCCCCACGGTGCCCACCACTGTCCCACTGTCCCCACTGTCCCCACCACTGTCCCACTGTCCCCACCGTACCTCTGTCCCATTGCCCCACCACCGTCCTCGCCACCGCCCTCACCAGTGTCCCCACCACCACTGTCCCACTGTCCCCACCACATTCCCACCGTCCCCACACCGTCCCCACCACCACCGTCCCTACCACTGTCCCAGTCCCCACCACTCCCCCACTGTCCCCAGTGTTCCCACCACCGTCCCCACTGTCCCCACCAGTGCCCCCACCACTGTCGCACCGTCCCCACTGTCCCCACCACTGTTTTCACCACGGTCCCCATTCTCACCTCTTTCCCCACGGTCCCCACCACTGTCCCCACTGTCCCCACTGTCCCACTGTCTCACTGTCCCCGCCGCTGTCCCACTGAGCTGCCCCACTGTTCCCACCACTGTCCCCACTGTCCCCACTAGTGTCGTCACTGTACCTCTGTCCCATTGTCCCACCACCGTCCTCGCCACCGCCCTCACCACTGGCCCCACCACCACTGTCACCACCACTGTCCCACTGTGCCCACCACATTCCCACTGTCCCACACCACTGTCCCCACACCACCGTCCCCACCACTGTCCCACTGTACCAACTGTTCCCCCCACTGTTCCCACTGTCCCCACCAGTGCCCCCACCAGTGTCTCACTGTCCCCACTCTCCCCACCTTTGTCCCACCACGGTCCCACTCTCCGCACTTTTACCACTGTCCCCACCAGTCCCCACCACTGTCCCCACTGTACCCACTGCTCCCACCACTGTCCCACTGTCCCTACTGTCCCCGCCGCTGTCCCACTGTGCTGTCCCACTGTCCCCACTGTCCCCACCACTGTCCCACTGTCCCCACTGTCCCCACCACTCTCCCCACTGTACTACTGTCCCATCACCGTCCTCACCACCGCCTTCACCACTGTCACCACCACTACGGTCCCCACCACTGTCCCACTGTCCCCACCACTGTTCCGCTGTCCCCTCACCACTGTCCCCACCACCACCGTCTGTCCTCACACCACTGTCCCCGCCACCACCTTCCCCACCACTGTCCCAGTATCCCCACCACTGTCCAATTGTCCCGAGGAGCGGGCATCGTTTGCCGGCGGCGAGGGAGGGGGGTTCGAACCGGTAGTGACCCCCCCCTTGTTTTCGAGGGGGGTGGGGGGGGGTCGAGTCGGTAGTCCCCCCTTTTCATGATGGACTGGGGGGGGGTTCGAACCAGTAGTGACCCCCTCCGGTTTTCGAGGGGGATGGGGGGGGGACGGGTTAGGAACCCCCAGTGACCCCCCCCCCCCCGGTTTTCCGCCAGCAGCGGTAGCACACGCTCTTTCGGATCTCGGCACATGTCTACCCCGCGCCTGCGATATGCCGAACCACATTGAGCAACCCTACCGCCCGCTTGCGGCCCATAACATCCCTCGCCGCCGCCTCCTCAATCCTTGAGACAGCGCCAGCCGACAACACGCGCCACGCACGGTGCGCCCCACGCGGCGAATCCAGGGAGCTGCAGGGGAGCTCGCACCGTGAACCCAGGGGAGCGCGCCGAGCCAAAGCAGACGCTCAAATACAAACTCCTGGGTCCATCAAATAACGCCGCCAGGTCGCCCGCTGCCACAATGACGCCCAGCCCTGGCGAATTTGTGCAGGATATCTTTGGAGGAAATCTCGGAACCTAGCGGGCAGGCGCTTCGATCCAGCGGTGGGCCGTGCAAAACGCGTCAGCAGCAGGGCGCGCGCCACCCTGGGCGCAGCGGTGCAATCCCCTTGACAGGCCGCCGCAACCCTGCACTTTGCGGCACGTGGCGGAGATCGGCCGTGCACTGCAGGTCACGGAATGGATCCACCAGGCGTGATGATCTGGCGAAGACCGACATCGCCTTTTGGCCGGCAGACCTCGGGCACCCTGCGAACCAGACGGCATTTGCCGAAGGGCGCCGCGCCGACGTGAGGATGAGTAACGATGCCCCATGGCTTCACACACCTCGGCCACCTCAGATTGGGCTGCTCGGCGACCTGCCTTGCTCTGGATCATCGACCCGTGGCCACAGAATGCAATGCGCGGTTCGCCAGGCGCGCCAGAATTCGAAGTTTATCTCCAGGCCCGAAAAGACGACGCGACCTGGTCATCATTGTGGTTGTGAAGGTATGTCCTCCTCTGAAGGCCAAGATCGCGGTGGGTGGCCAGGTCGAGAACCTAGTCTGCTGCTAGGTGCCTTCTGACGGCCACCTGCGCGGCGACTGCTTCACTGCCGCAGAGCACGCAGAAGTTCAATCCTTTCTCCCGGGAAGCTGCCACGGCCAGGCGTTCGACCATGTCGCGTGCGCGACGTACGTTTGCCTGGCGCGACCCCAGCCAACGTTGGATCCCGCTAGCGACAGAGCACGCTGCCAGGAGCTCTTCCGAGGAGGGTTCCCAGGCGCGTTCGATACACGCGACCTTGTTCATCTCAGAACGCTTGCTGGTATCACCAATGCCGTCAAACCTGTCCACGACGCCCCTGGCGCGCCAGCCAAGGACGCGACCACCCTTCTTGCGAGCCAAGGCGCGCACCGCTCTGTGTGTGGGGGAAAATTGTTCTGCTGCGCAGGAGCCCCCCAGGAAGCCCTAGGAGGCCCCCAAGAGGCCCGAGCCATGCCCCAACAGGCCCCAAGAAATCCCCGAGAGGCTCCCGAGAGGCTTCCGAAACACTCCAAGGCGGCAAAACATTCTCCTCCTCCCCCTTCTCCTCCTCCTCCTCCTCCTCCTCCTCCTCCTCCTCCTCCTCGTCCTCCTCCTCCTCCTCCTCCTCCTCCCTCCTCCTCCTCCTCCTCCCCCCCCCTCCTCCTCCTGATCCTCCTTCTCCTCCTCCTCCTCCTCCTCCTCCTCCTCCTCCTCCTCCTCCTCCTCCTCATCCTCCTCATCCTCCTCTTCCTCCTGTGCCACAAGATGTAGAAACAGTTTGCACCACGCAGCGTAGCATGATTTATGTTGCAAATAGTTCAATGGTTTCTGATGTTTGAGTTGGAATTGAAATTGAATATAGCATGCCACGATTGTTAGGGCACGAAGCGGTACAATATTACCCGTGCCTTGACCGACAGCCGTGACAATCCTCTTCCTCCTCCTCCTCCTCCTCCTCCTCCTCCTCCTCCTCGTCTCCTCCTCCTCCTCCTCCTCCTCCTCCTCCTCCTCCTCCTCCTCCTCCTCCTCCTCCTCCTCCTCCTCCGCCGCCTCCGCCTCCTCCTCCGCCTCCTCATACTGCGAAACGGGCCGAAGGCCACCCGACAATCATCCACCCTCCCCTCCCTGCAGGCCACCCCCGCCGAAGTACTGGTACTTGCAGGGGCTCGTCCTCGCGGCGGGGGGCTGCTCGGCCAGGAGCTGGCGCACGCGGTCCATCGCCTGCGGGGGGGAAGGGGGCTCTGCAGGGCGGCGCGCCGAAGGCGGCCCGCAAGCTCTTCACGAGCTGCTCTCGCGAAACATTGACGAACAGGAGAACGAGGTGGGGAAGGAGGGCTGAGGAGGGGAAGGAGGAGGAGCGACGAGGAAGAAGAGTTCACGTGCCCCTTTCACTGTTGCGGAGGAGATAGAGGAGGAGGAGGACGAGGAGGAGGAGGAGGAGGAGGAGGAGGAAGAGGAGGAGGAGGAGGAGGGAGAGAAGGAGGCGGCGGAGGAAGAGGAAGAAGGTAAAGAAAAAGGGGGGAAGGCACAGTGACAAACTTCATGTGCGCCCAAGTCCCCCATTCCGCGAGCAGCTCCACGAGCTCCTGGTGAACGGGGGAGCAGGGAGCACACGGAGGAGGAGGAGGAGGAAGAGGAGCATCGAGGCCCGAGGTGTTCTCAACACTGCATGCTATAGGAAGCGCTACCGATGCACGAGCTACTCCGGCCAACCCTCTGGCCAACCCCATGCCCTCAACGGCCGACCCTGGCCAACCCTCCTGGCCAACCCCTCAGGCCAACCGTGGCTCGGATGCCCCCCCCCAAGCAGACATGATAGCTCTATTCTCGTGGGGGCCTCCTGGGACGCCCTAGCCACCAAGACCACATCCGCCTGGCAAGCGGTTAGAGCGTACCCCGTAGCGACGGGTCGATGGCCGATGTCCGAGGGGGGGGCCCAGCCGTCCTACGCTATGAATGAACACAAACAAACGAACGAACGAACGAAACAACAACAAACAAACAAACAAACAAACAAACAAACAAACAAACACACAAACAAACAAATAAATCAACAAACTAACTCACTGACTAACTAACGAACAAACAAACAAACAAACAAACAAACCAGTGGAAGTGGTTGCCGTTTTCGGCATCCAGGAGCCGCCTTCGGGGCCCAGGACCGTCGAATGACAATCCTGATCGAAACAACGGCCCCCCACGGAAGAGAGCTATAGCTCCAGGGCCCACGAAATCAATAACCGGGACGCCAGCCAATGTACCAATCGCACAGACGAGTGATGTTTGCCATCTGGATCCTGGCTCGCACAATCGAAAAGGCAGGTGGTGTATCTCACCTGCATTGAGGAATGTCTCGAGGAAGTCCCACGCGAGAGCGCGATGTTTGTACCAAGTGTGAGGACGTCCCGCGCGAGAGCGCGATTTGGGAATAAGTTGTGAATCGCTATCAGGCGGGAGCCGCTATTGTTAGCTCTCTTGAAAAAACAGGATGCGAGCCTCGGGAGAAACACTTTAGTTTCAAAAAACAATGTTTACCAGGGATCAGCAGAAAAAATGCTTCATGAGTGAAAATTCGACAACAACAACAACAATATGATCTGCTCGCGTGCATTCAACACGTATATCCTAAATCCCCGATGCCCGCACTCTTCGTCTTCGATCATACCCCCTTAGGGGATTGTCTTTCTTACCTGTCAACACGAATTTCGGGCAGCCCCAAAGGCAGGGGAAGAGAAGACGGATGGAAGGAAGGAACAACAAGGGGCAGGCGGGTTGCTGAAGCGTGCGTCCTGCATGGATTGTGAAGAGATCTCGAGCGATAGCGCGATCCCCACATGGATCGTGAGGGAATCCACAGCGAGAGCGTGATTCCTGAGTGTCGAGGGCGCGGCGTCTGAATAAATTGCGAGGAATTCCCACGCGAGAGCGCGATTCCTGCATAACTTCTGAGGAAGTCCCACGCGAGAGCCCGATTTCTCAGTAAAGTATGAGAAGTATCTGGCGGGAGCCGGTGTTGTTGTGACTCGGGGGCCAGGGGCCCAGTCTGGTGACATCTCATTTTCCTTGCAGGAACCAGGTGCGAGCCCCGGGAGGAACCCTCAACTGAAAAATAAACCAGTCACCGGACAGGAGAGATCAACTATAATTGTTCTTCAGAACTGACATTCAACAGCAGCAGAAGCAGTAGCAGCAGCAACGGCAACAACAACACCAGCACCAGCAACAACAACAACAATCGTTTTAAGGCTGTTCGCTCTTATCTGCCCACGTGCCACTCAACACGTATATCCCAAACCCTCGATACCTACACTCTTCGTCATCGATCGTATCACCTTGGGGGTATATCGTTCTTACCTGCAACGTGTATTTCCTGCAGCACCTAAGGCAGGGGAAGAGAGAACGGATGGAGGGAGGGAACAAGGGGGAGAGAGGAGGATGGAGCACGAGAGAAGGTAGCAGGAGGGGGGCTACGAGCAGAAGACACGTGGCAGAACTGGACGGGCAGATCGGACGGGTAGACCCTAACAGGCGGGCCCAGGCGGCCTGGTCGAGCAGGCGGGTTGCTGAAGCGTTCGTCCTGCATCAATCGCGAGGAAGTCTTGAGCGACAGCGCGATACCAAAATAAATCTCCAACGACCACAACAATGACAGCCACGACGACGACGACAACGACGACGACGACGACAATAACATCAACAACAACAATTGTAATACTGTTTGCTCTTACCTACTCGCGTGCCACTCAACGCGTATATCACCTACCCTCGGTAGCCGCCCTCTTCGTCTTCGATCGAACCCTTCTGATGGTATATCTTCCTTACCTGCAGCGTGCAATCGGCGCAGCCCTTGCATCAGGGGAAGAGAGGACGGATGGAAGCGGGAGGGAGAAGGATGGAGCACGGGATTAGCAGGAGGGGAGCTAGGAATAGAAAACGCGTGGCAAAACTAGACGGGCCCATCGGGCGGGTAGACCCTAACGTGCGAGTCGGAAGGCGTGCGCAAGCGGCCAGATCGAGAAGGCGTGTTGATGAAGTGTGAGTGCAGCATGAATCGCGAGGAGAGCTCGAGCGATCGCACGATTCCCAAGTAAACCGTGATAAAGGCCGAAGCGAGAGCGTGATTCCTGAGTGTCGAGGGCCTGAGCGAATTGCGAGGAATTCCCGAGAGCGCGATCCCTACAAAATTTGTAAGAACGTCCCGCGCGAGAGCGCGATTTTGAAAGGAAGTATGAGGAAGTATCAGGCGGGAGGCGTTGTTGTTGTAGTTCGAGGGCCAGGGGCGCAGTTTGGTGACACCAAGCCTTCCCTGATATACCAAAAAGGTGCGAGCCCCGAGGGGGGGAACTCATTTGAAAAAAAAATCGGTTACCGGAGAAGCGGGTCAACAATAATTATTCTTTCGAAATGAGAATTCAACAACAGCCGCAGCAGCAGCGACAACAACAGCAACAATCACAACAACCATTGTCAGACTATTTGCTCCTATCTGCTCGCGTGCCACTCAAAAAGTATATCCCAAATCCTCGGTACCCGCCTTCTTCGTCTTTGATCGTATCCCCTTGGGGGTCTATATTTCTTGCCTGCCACGTGCTTTTAGGGCAGAAACTAAAAAATGGAGAGGACGGATGGAAGGGGAGAGAAAAGGATGGAGCACGAGAGAAATTAGCAGGAGCGGGGCTAGGAGCAGAAAACGCGTGGCAGAACCAGACGGGCAGATCGGGCGGGCAGACCCTGGCGAGCGGGTCGGGAAGGCGGTCCCAGGCGGCCAGGTCGAGCAGGCGGGTTGCTGAAGCAAGAGTCCTGCATGAATCTAGTAAATCATGAGAAAGGCCTCGAGGGTGCTGCGTCTGAAGAAATTGCAAAGAATTCTCACGCGAGAGCGCGATTCCTACATCTCCTGTGAGGACGTCCCGCGCGAGAGCTCGATTTTGAAAAAACTTGAGGGGGAGTATCAGGCGGGAGCTGTTGATATCATAGGTCGGGGTCAAACAACGCAGTTCGAGTACGAAGACTTCCCCAAATAAAAAACAGGGTGCGGGGGCTACGGGGGCACTTCAATTGAAAAACATAATTTGCACCGGTGGGGAGATCAATTTCCAAGAATGAGAGCTCAACAACAACAACAATAGCAGCAACAATCACAAAAACAAACAAGCACAACAACAACAACAACCACCACCACAACAACAACAGCAACCGCAACAGCAACAGCAACAACAACAGCAAAAGCAACAGTAACAAGAAACAGCAGCAGCAACGACAACGACAACAACAGCAACAGCAACAGCCTCAGCAACGACAACGACAACGACAACAGCAACAACAACATATCAAAACAAAAACAACAACAACAACAACAACAACAACAACAACAACAACAACAACAACAACAACAACAACAACAACAACAACATCCACAAAACAAGAACCACAACAACAGCAACAGCACACAGCAACAGCAATAGCACCCACCAACGACAACAGCAACAGCAACATCAACAGCAGCAGCGAACGCAACGACGACAACAACAACCACAACAGCACCAACATCAACATCCACGACAACAGCAACAACCAACCAACAGACAATAACGAACAACAAAAAAACGCAATGGGATGCGAACACAAAAAGAATCCCCAAACCAACGAACAAGAACTCCTATCTCCTGCTCCTCCTCCTCTCCCTCCTCTCTCATCCTTAGCCTCCTCCTTCCCCCCTCCATCCCTCCTCTTCCTACTCCCCCCGCCTTCCCCCCCCTCCTCCTGCTCGTCCTTTTCCTCCCCCTCCCCTCCCAAAAAATTGGGCCCGTGGATCTCTCATGGGATGCGCTCTTGCCAAGATTTCGAAGAGGATCCAGCCGTGATCGCGAAGGCGCGCCCGGGAGACCCCGAGGGAAACAAAAAATGCCTGAAACCTGCGAATATCGAGCCTCGGTCATCCTACGTGTCCTTTTTCCTTCCTCCTCGTCCTTTTCCTCCTCATCCTCCTCCTCCTCATCGTCCTCCTTTTCCTCCTCCTCATCCTCCTCTTCATGTTCCTCCTCCTCCTTCTCTTCATATTCCTCCTCCTCTTCCTCCTCCTCCTCCTCCTCCTCCTCCTCCTCCTCCTACTCCTCCTCCTCTTCCTCCTCCTCCTCCTCCTCCTCCTCCTCCTCCTCCTCCTCCTCCTGCTCATCCTACTTCCTCTCCTCCCCCCCCCGTTCCTCCTCCTCCGATTCATC